GACCACAGCTTCGCCACCAGATTAGCTGCCTTGTTAGAAATGTACAATCTCAGGTCAGTCTTTGGTTTCTTTTGTAGTTGGTGAAGAAAGTCTGCTTAGGGTACTCAGTGAGTAAGAAGGGGAAGACCATTCAGTTGAGCCATCTTATCCTATTCTTATGGGAAAAATGAAGCTGAGGGTAGCTCACTAACATGGGCACTGATGTCTCTTCCTTCTTTTAATCCCACAGCAAGATCACACCAACGATGGACGAACCGATAAACTCCATGCTGATGGACCTTTCTGTTTTTTACTGGACGGCTGGAGGGATGTTTCCCTCTTTAATCAACATTTCTGGGATTTCCTTTCTGGTTGCATGGATGGGAAAATGTTCTCCCAAAGTAAAGCACCATCTCTTATGTTTCCTTTTGGGTGGAGAAGTTGTTGGAGGCCTTTGGCCTCATGCTCAGAAGCCTTCTTCAGCAGTCTCCCACCACAGAGCAGTTCATTTTTATTCTGAAAGTAAGGGCCCAGCGAGATTCTTGATTCTGGAAATAAGTAAGCATGTCTGAAACAGCTTTTTTTTTGGGGGGGGGGGAGGTATAGCTTGTCTCACATGTTTTCCCTTTGAAAATTTTAGGAAGAAGTATCAGAACATTTATATAATGCCAGCCTTCTAAATTAGCCCATTATAATGCTATAGACATATGTAGGCTATTTGTTGAAGCCATTTTTAAGGAAATATCTGGAACAATTTCTGAGCAACACAACCAATTTCAATCCACACTTTAAGTGAGGTCATAAAAGTCACACCATACTATTAAACTGAGACAAATTAATTTTATTATGCTTCATGATGAATTGCCACCAGTGCAACATCCTATTCACTGTACATTTCCAAAGAAGAGGAAAAAGAAGAGCCAAAAAGAAAATTCACATACCGAGAAGTTCAATTTGATGAAATGGAAAACTGAATGATTGAGATGTTTTCAGAGTACAAGTTGCTAGATGCTATTGTCTAAGTGCAATGTTCAGAGTCCTCAGGCTCATTCACTACTTGGCAAGGCTGTTACACAGACAGTCAATTTAACTGATGCAAAGGCTGCCCTGGCTGCAAGAGTTAGCAGTAGTGATTCAATGACAAGAAACATTGCCTCCTGCCCACACTGAGAGCAAGAAAGTAGAAACATGCAGCTGTGACCTTAAATCTAATTGTAACTGCGGTCATGCTTTAAATTAAAACCATACAATATGCTATTGAAAGCAAAACAGTTGAATGTTGTGCAATAACGTAGATATACTTTCTATTGGGGAGGGGAAAGTATTAGGTAAGTGATTAATGGATTACATAAGTATCCTCAAAATAGTATCTCTTTTCAAACTCTTCCAACTTTAGAAGCATGTGCTTAATTTAACAGTAATATTGCTGTAGACCAATTGAGCAATATCAACTCTTTAAATGCCCCTCTATGAAACTAGAGCAGAAATCCTACAGGCTGTACTGTAGGCCACTAACATTTTCTGTCATGTGCATAACTTTTAACCCATCTCCATAGCATCATTACATACTCACAAACCTCAAGCACACTAGCAGTAATGCTAACTGAAAAGTTGTTCTAGCACAAAGCAGCGCTGGAGATTCAACTGAAATGAAGATGCTTTGAAAATGTTCCTTTCCAAGTTGTTTGCATCAAATTAAAGTTATTCCCTTTGGAATAAACTTCTGCTTACCACATCTTCTTTCATCAACATACTCTTTAAATCCCATCCTTACAGGATTAAAAACCCAAATACTAGACACACATTATAATTGCATTAAACGTCCAGGCCAAATCATGCAGGTCCAGCCTGCCAAGATCAGGCCAACACTGGATTTCAATAAAGTTAATTCCATCCAATATGTCCTGGATAGAAGAAAAATGAAGAAGGAAGCAAGCAGGGATTAATTGTACTCCAAGAATGTCTCACTTGAAACCACCTGCATTTATTAAGTGTATTCTTATTGTGAATAGAGTATTAGCATTGATAAAGCTTATCTTAAATGCAATACTGCATGAAAAATAAGCAGATAGTCCAAATAGTAAGTCTCCTAGTAAAGATGAAAAATTAAAACAAAAACTCCAATTTTCCCATCATATATTGGAATGCAATTCCAAATGCAGGACCACCCAACTTTTAAGACCATATCCCTTATTTCTAGTGAAATACTGCAATGTGCAAATTTGGTATATAAAAAACAGTGGCTTATAAACCTTGTAGTAGTGAATCTCTTCCCCTCAAAGCAAAAGACAAATAGTTCAATTAACTGTTTATTCTTGCTTTGAAGTCTAGAAATTTAGAGTCAAAAGGAAACAAGGCAACAGTGACCCACACGCTTGAATAGGAGCCCATGAGAAATACTGTATCTGATAGAAGAGTGCCCACCCACTGATCTGGATAACACAGAGGCCAGGTTCAGAAAAACGGAAATATCACCAAGATGCTCATTGGCCTTCTAGCAACAGTAATTATCATCTAGTATTGTCACAATCAAGAAAGTATAGGTTTAAGGCTCCATCTCTATTTATTTTAGTTATAGGATCGTGTCTAACTGTGTTGACATGTCCCATAATCCATGAAAACTGCAGAGTTACACTACTTAAGTTCATTTATTAGCATACCAATGCCCTACATTGAAAAAAATTAATTTACAACCATTATTATTCAAAGCAAACATCAACTACAGCCCTTCAGTAAAAAACCTTATATAAAAATAAATAACGACTGCAGCAGTTGCCAAAACTTCTCTTTGTCATGAACAACAGTTGGGAAAAGTCACAAAGGTGGTTTCTATCAGATTTATTGACCAAACAGACTATTCTTAAATTCAGTATTCAGGTATCAAAGCTCTGATATAGGCAACAATGATCCAGATCAGGGAAAAATTTCATGATCACTTAATTTTTCTAGTGATTGCTTTACAGCTTGAAGACTAAATCTGAATGGTAGTGTTATGAATTGAAATGCTCTTCATTTTATCAGCCTCATCCATGAAGCAGTTTCCCAGATGAAGCGGCTAAAACTAGGAGCTGCATTGCTTAAAGTATGTAGTGCTATATTAGGTTTTAATAAGAAAATCTAGATACAGAAAAAGTAGGGTATGAAAATAGTGTTTTCCTTCTTGCAATTATAACTAAATACATTTAAGGTGTGTTTGTCAATCTCACAGATTACATTAAAACTCCCTTATTGATGGAATGGAAAGTATTCACATGTACACTAGGCATCCGATGTAAACTTTTACATAAGGGAGTAGCCTTGTATAGGATGACAAACCTTTACAGATTAAATGAGGTATTGCACAGATTAATAAAAAAGCAAAAGGCAACAAAAATATACAGTAAATTGGTAAAACATTTACATGATAATTTTACAGAATCCATAAACAGAAAGTAGTTTAGTATTTCACCGTAAAAATATATATAAGATATAATATATTGATCAGTCATCCCATTCATCATCATCTTCAAAGTCTTCCTCTTCCTCTTCATCCTCATCTTCATCTGTTGATACAAAAATAGTTATTTGGAAAGAACTTAGCAACTTAGTAACTAAGACAAATATTGGTAAAATTATTGTGGTGGGTATCAATTAACCAGCATTTGTACCATTAAAGGTAAATGTCTATGTAAATTGGGACCAGGCGTTAGATGAAACAATCACACACTAAAGGCATAAACTTGACTTCTAATTGATACTGTATTTTTCAGAGTATAAGACGCTCCTAGATTTTGGGGAGGAAAACAAGGGAAAAATATCTGCCTCTGCCTCTCAGCAATTTGCCTCCTTGCAACAAACAGTATAGAGAATATACACAGTTTGTAGTGTTATATTTCAGACTATACTTGTACAGATGCTGTTAAAATTCATGTGCTTTCTGNTAGTTATGTTGAAATAAAAAAAATATTACAAGACTATTTTTGCGTTGTATGAAAATTTTTGTTGCTCCGTATAACATTTTTAATCAAGCCCCCCCCCACCTCTTTACCAATCTGAAAATCTGGTCACCTTATTATAGGCAGGACCTGCTGATCCAAAAATGGGCACAACTGCCACACAAGTCATTGCAAGGAAATGATTTCAATACTGTGTATTGAAACTCTGTTAATGATAACATATTTTGAAACTCTTTAAACATTTCTATTTAATATTTAGGATTTGAATTTAATCAGTCTTAGTGGAATTCTTTTCAGCATGTAATTCTTTTTAATCCTATTTCAGCTGTTCCTTCTACTCTTGAAAAAAAAACCTGTCTGCTAGTAATTATAATTACAGAGGCATATTTGGAAGAAATATTCAGTTAGCTTAAAAACTTTACTATTTGGAATGATGACACCTCCCCCCCCCAATTTTGGTGGCCTCCATTCTGCTGTTGTTCAGAAGTAGTAAAGGGAGAATGAGACCCCTGTGTCTCAATCTAATTACCCCCAATTTAAGAATCACTGTTTAAGGCTACAAACTTCAATCAGTCACTTTGTATGCGCTGGTTTTCAGCCTCCAGAATTCTAAATCAGTACGACCAATTTCAATGAAGATTCTGAGAATTCTAGTCCAATAATCTGGCATTTATATTTTCATTACTATTATTCAGAGAATTAGTATTATAATTATACTCCTGGCATGCTATAAACAAAATGAACAATTGTTTTAAATGTTTGTTGGATGCTTATTTACTATAAAATAATCGGGATCGTTTCTACAGAATTTCATTTTTTAATGTGTGCCAGTGTGTTTACAGAAAAACCCATGACATTAAAGGTTATATAATCTTATTGGACATCCAATGGAAATTGTCCTAGATACTAGACATACCCAGTTTCTGCAACCGTTCTTCATATTTTAGCCTCCAGTCCCCTAATCATCTTTGTTGTTCTTCTCTGCACTCTTTCTAGAGTCTGAACATCCGTTTTACATTGTGGCGACAAAAACTGAATGCAGTAAGTGTGGCCTTACCAAGGCATTATAAAGTGGTATTCACACTTCATGTGATCTTGATTCTATCTCTTGATCTTGATCAAGATCAGGGGATATGACATGATTTGTTTGTTTTAAAAGCTTTGTACAATATATCTTTGGAGGAGATTAGGGCTCCCATTCAAGTCGTATTGCACCACAACGAAGATAGATCATTGTTATGATCCCCACAAAAAATAAGACCTCAATAAACGTAAAGAAAGCTTCTTAAGAATTAAAAAAGAAGTAGTTTCCTGGTTTGTTTCCTTCATACATCACCTGTTTGAGAGAATTATTTACAAGTGTGCAATGGAGAGAGATACCTGATTAATCAACTTTCTGCTGTTTCATGTTGGGATGAATGACAATGCCAGAAAGAAGCAGGAAAGAATATCAAGAGACGAGGAGGAATAAGCTAGCTGAACTATAAGAAACCAACAGGTAGTCCTCGACTTACAACAATTCATTTATTGAGCATTCAAAGTTACAAAGGGCACTGAAAAAAGTGACCTAAGGCAGCTTTTCAAACTTACGACTGCTGCAGCATTGCCATGGTCATGTGATCAAAAGTCATGTGATCAAGAGACTTGGCAACAGACTCATATTTATGACAGTTGCAATGTCCTGAGTCATGTGATCACCTTTAGCAACCTTCTGACAAACAAAGCCAATAGGAAAGCCAGATTCACTTAACAACCATGTAATTAACTTAATCAATGCAATGATTCACTTAACAACCATGGCAGGAAAGGTGGGCATGGGGCACATGGGGCAAAACTCACTTAACAAACATTTCTCTTAGCAACAGAAATTTTGGGCTGAACTGTGGTCGTACCTCGAGGACTACCTATACCCCAAATCTGAGGATACTTTATTAAACATGAAAAAACTCTCTAAAGCAGAGGTCGACTTCCCCATTGGTGCCTGTTCAATGACTTCTGTTGCTGTCTGGAAAATCCCGGGACAGCCCCCAAGTTGTGGGATTTGTTGTCTAGTGTGGAAATAAACAATCACCAGCCAAGACTTTTAAGAAAAAACAATAGTAATTTTATTCTACACTTTGAAAAGCGGGTGGATCACACACATGTAGGTACAGTGAATACAGCCTAAATCAGTGTTTCTCGACCTTGGCGACTTTTAGTCCTGTGGACTTCAACTCCCAGAATCCCCCAGCCAGCATAGCTGGCTGGGGGATTCTGGGAGTTGAAGTCCACAGGACTNGGAGGGGGGGCAGAGGGTGCAGAAGAATGAACTGGTGGAGGAGGAGGATATATCCTGTTTGGTGGCGGTGGTGGCATTATAGAACCAGGTCTAGAAGGAGGTGGGGGAGGGGGTGCTGTTACTGGAGCTCTCGAAGGAGGTGGGGGAGGGGCTCCTCTTCCCCTAGCAGGAGGAGGAGGGGGTCCTGAGCTATGTGGTGGTGGTGGAGGAGGAGGTGGACCGCCTCTAGATGGTGGAGGTGGTGGTGGAGCTGAAAGCAAAAGCAATCCAAAGACACAGAAGAGTATTTATTCACTATGAGACAGCTATCTGAAGCAGATACTGACAGTATTCAAAATACACCAATTATCTTAAAAGTATTCTTTCATACATCACATGCTCCCTGAAGATGCTCTTAAATTATGTTTAACTTTCTGCCACTCACATTTATTGGTGAAATCTGTTAAAAAGAGATGATCATACTATTTTCACCAATTATAACAACATGAACTTTTAATATCTAGTAAATATATTCAATTGGCAACATTTTATATAAATGTTATATTCTGCTGCCAATGTTGTAATTTATGGAAAGGTTTGATTTTCATAACTTATTTGCTTTGAAAAAGTCATTCTGAAAAAATGTAAAGCATAATAAAATTTAAAACATAAAGCAAAATACATATCACTATATCTCCAACCCCATAAAATGATCAACAGAAGCACTGGAATTATGTTCTGTTATAGCTCAAAGATAGAGCCAGTATATTACCATAACTTGGAAGCTAAAAGTATATAGATCAATTTGGGTAAGATGTGCAGAAAACTCCAGGTAGTTAAAACAAGGAAACACACGAGCAAGATGCAAGACAAAATGTGAAGCTTCATTATCATCTTCTTTGGTGCTTATCATTTCAGAAGAGTCAGAATAATGAAAAACCTAAGCAAACTTTCAAATATTTTACACCCAATTTTCTATGCACAATCCCCACCACATACTAAACAGTTTCGTCACAAAGCCATTGGTAAATGCATTTCATTCAGCTACGACTAGTATTGATTGTCATTTGTAAGTAGAGGGGCTTGCTATTAGAATACATATAAACACGTTAAGAAAAATCAGCTACACAAAATAGTTTAATCAAGACCTCAAGATACAAGCATTCAAGCAGTGATCATTTCTTATTATACAAGACTTATACATAGACTGCAAATACTGAATTGGGGAAGTATTGAGATAAGTCAGTTAGTATCCTTAGCAAGATTAATTAGTGTCACTGTACCTAGCATAGTTATGCATACAACTCATAGCTGAAACTTAAATGCTAATACCATGTTTACCCAAAAGGAAGACAACTCTGAAAGAAGAATGGATAGAGGCAACCCTATGAATCCAGAGAAAAGATTATGTACCATGCTTCCTCCTCTTTCCAAATGGGGATTGCCAATTAAAGCTGAAAATATCATGGAGCTTTCCTGCCATTGACACGGTTTATATGGGTATATATGCACATATATAAGTTTTGACAAATATGTTATCATAAGCCACACTTTTTAAAAAAAGGCAAAACTGGGTGAATGGAACTTGGAAGAGACCCAAATCTATCTAATTAATCCAAGCTAATTGCCCCTGTAAAAGATATTCCATTATAAAACAAACTGGATTCCAAGTGGATGCATCAATCAGTCTCTTTCACACAGGAATATACAAGTCATATATAAACTACCTTTCCTTCTATCCTTCCATCCAAAATATGAAAAAAATAGCAACTAATGTGGCTAGCCGCTAGAGAATAAAGGGACTGGGCTGACATGAAGAAAGGGGAAAGCTAATTCTTCCTCTCTCTCCAATACATGTATACCTTATTAATTCATAGTTAATTATTTTGGGGGGAGGAATTGTCTTCCTATTAAGTAAAAAGGTACATGAAAACTAAAAAGACTAGAATTCATACATACCACTGCAGCGTGGTGGGCCTAGATTATAAATGTAGCATATATTAACTTTCACTGAAGTATAGCACGTTCCCTCATATCTTACATTCAACCAAATGAGACTGATACTATACTGCACGACCCTCACACTAGCATGATAAAATATTCATATAGTCAGTGCTCATACAATGTTAAGTATTGTAATAATATTATAATTATTATTTGTTGTCCTCCAATAAAATTATATTCAACCATTAAAGACATTTGATGATGATAATGATAAATGAATGAAGATTTATAGAAGTTTTATTTTAAGTTTTGAATTCTTATTTTTGGCTTTGTTGTTCCACTGGGGAAATATCAAGATATTTGTTGAAATGAATTGTAGCAATATTTTATAGGCTACAGTTTGTGGCTCAAATAATAAAAAACATTCATTGTAGTATAATATAATATATTTGCAAATCTGGCTCAGTACTATAATTGTATTTTAACAATGTGCAAATATATTTTTAAATCAAGAGAACATTTTTTAAATTACCCTATTTAAATATTCTAAATCTTATGTAGAGATTAAAAAGCTTAATCAATAGTCTGCATTAATAAAAGAAGTCTCACCTTGTCTACGCAACTCATTTTTAATTGCTTCAACTCCTCCTGTTTTTTCAATAAAATCATATATAGCCTTGGAAGTTTCTTTGTCTTTCAGCTGAGCCTCTGAAATTCCACACATATCGAATAGGTGTTTCAGTTCTGGATCCAAATTGTTAACCTACCGGAAATATTATCAGAGATAATTGCAAACTCATTCTTGTAACTAAATGTGACATAATTTGTATAAAAATGTCCCCACAAATTACTGAATTCTACACAAGGGAGCAATGCTAAAAGTAGTCAGAAAAATTAAGTTTCATATGTTAAAAGACTAATGTAAATCTTTACCATGCTTACTTACATCAAAACCTGTGTTTGGGTCCCAGCCAACATGGCCAATGTGTCTGAAAACAAGGAAATAAGGAAGAAGAAAAAAGCTTTAGATACATGAAGTTAAGACAACTGCAATATAGTAAATAACTGGCAAGGTAATAAACAGTTGCTATAATTATTTCCCTGATCTGAGAAAAAAATGGAAAATGTTAACATAATAATGAAATGAATTCTACACTTAATTCTATAGATTCCAAAATGGCTTAGAATTTTCTTGACAGGACTAATCAAACCATAAATTTATCAAATACCATCATCTTGACATTCATCTTCCCTAAAATTAGCAAATGTGAGACTCTCAAGTGAAGGAAGGTAAGGACTATACATATAATTGCTTTCAAAGAAAGATATATAATTTAATACTGTACTGGTTTTGTCTTCTATTAAGAGTTCACCACCTTTCTTTGTTCCATTTTCTTTCTGTGGATTCAATATTATGTTTTCTTATACTAACACTTTTTCATTTCACTACATAAGCCATCAAGGCTTTGATTTTTAAATGAAGCACTAAAAGGGTAATTATTGTAGGACACTTAATATGAGGAACTCTTGCTGTGCAGGTAGGATTATGTAACTGCTTGGTTTTTCTACTGAAATGCAAAGAAACACATCTGTGAGGTTTTGGGTTTTGTAAAATTAAAATGTTAACAAATTAAACAGGCATTCTTACTGGAAGTTGCTTGGAGTTCCAATATCTGCCTTTGTCAATTTTTTCTTTTTTGCTTTTCCCTTTTTCTTCTCTTTGGTATAGGAGATATTGTTGACTTGTGAACCATGAAATCTATTAGTAGTGATTTCTGGATTTTTGATGTCAACAGTTGCCATTGGCAGACTTGGACCTGTAAGTAAACAAACTAGACTGTATGCTTGATTTGAATTGATTTTTCTTTCTTTTGATAAACTGCTGGTTTCAGTATTCAAAAGCATTGTAGAATGTTTGAAAACAAGGAAATATTATATATAAAAGAAAGGTTTTCCTAAGAATATATTTCAAAGTTTTTGAATCACCTAGTGCACGGGTGTCAAACTTGCTGCGTCACGTTGCAATCACGTGATGTTTTGCCCATTATCGGAGTTGGGGTGGGCATGGCCTGCGCGTGATGCATCCAGCCTGTGGGCTGCCAGTTTGACACCCCTGACCTAGTAAATGCTCCAACAGTACATATCAACATGAGTGCAGAAAAAGGTATGAATCTTATGAGTGTTTGATTAAAATTCAGAAATTATAAACAGATTTTGAATACATATAATAGCTAATTTATTTTAGGGTAGAATCCTAAGCAGTTTAGAAATTAGACACTCTATTTAGTTGACTTACATCGATGTACTACTAGGAAAGAATACTAAGCAAACTGTTCACTAGCAATTTATCAATTAATAACCTATACAGAGAAAGTTTTAGTCTGTTAAGAAACAAACTATCCACTCTAATTAGAATTTGTCTGTCCATAAGGAACACACAAATATAAGGAATTTCCACTTCTAGCACTGCTATATCCAACACAGAAACCCCTGCCATCACAACATAAGCGCTTTTCCATCAGCAAAAGTTAGTGAACATCAAAGATGTCTATGAGTTCATCCTTTGAACAATTTGACAATATAGTAGCTACAAATATCCAGTATGGTAGGTTGATATCTTATCCATCTGCAGGTTTTCTCAAAACATAAAATGTCATGTTTCTGAGATCCTGGGTATTCCCCAGCTGCTCTTAAAAAAGGGTAGTCTTTCATACAGTAAATCAGTTTCTAATTCATCACATATATTAAAAATGAAAACTCCAGAATATAAAAACTAATTCTGTTAAATTCCCATTTTCACTCTAATAAATGCTTCATACACAGTATTTTTTTTTGTTACCAACAGGATTGGAAATATAAAGCTGAAGAATTTATAGATTATAGGTAATCCTTGATTTACAACCAAATTGGTCCTGAAATTTTGATTGCCAAGCAATGTGGTTGTTAAGTGAGTCATCAAAATAAGAATCCAATTTTAATGCAGTGAATCACTGTGATTGCAAATGGATTAATCCTGCTTCACCATTTTGATTTTGCTTGTTAAAATCTAGCTGGGACTGCAAAATGCTGCAATTATTATAAATGCGAACTGGTTGCCAAATGCCTGAATTGCAATCATGTGACCACAGAGATGGTGTGACAGTTGTAACTGAGGACAAGTCTAAAGTCACAAATCATTCTCAGAAATGCACATTAAAGATTGCAGTTATGTAACAATGATGATCATGCTATAGTTATTAATAAAAACCTTACCATTTGGTAGATCTCTCCTTTTGTCTGTTAGGGGGGAAAACACACATGAGTATCATTCCATTCATGCATGAAGTTAAGAAAAAAGCTAATAAATATTTCATCCATTTTAGTAAAGCTTTTAAGTACAGTAATCTCTAATGGCCTATAAATGATTCCAGGTCCTCTACATATGAAATCACTCTGCAGGACCACTATTAACTGGCTTTAAAAGTCAGTTTTCCAGGGTAAAACAGTAAAAAAATAAGAGAAACACACAGACACAACTTGCGGTTAAGAAGTGGCAGATTTTTTAAAAAATTATCTCAATTTTTTAGTACTTCTGGACAGTTTGCCGATCCATTGTTTCTATCTTATAAATACAATACAACTGAATGTATGCAATTCTAGACAAGTAAATAAAAAGAATAACTGACTTGCAGTGTAACATTCCTATAATTACCTCATTTAAAATATATATGCATTTTTAGATTTATAGTTCACAAATTTGTACATATCATACATTTTACCATATTAAAGAGAAGCAATGTCTTATAATATGCAGTAAGATTTTCAACAATTAAAATATTAAATCTACAAATGTTACATATGTAAGAATAAGTTTTTATTTATTTTATCTAAAACTTCAATATATTATAAAAAGGATATGCACTAACTCCCCCCAGTATGCAAATTGTATCCAAAAGGACAACAATGCACTTTTTTTAAATAGCTGAGATACTACATCTGAGTTCTTAATTTGAACAAGATAAAATTTAAGATGGATTTTAAACTCTTTTTCTATTTGACTGAAAGCTACTCAGCCTCAAAAAAAAATACATTTAAACTTTTTTAAAAAAAAAATTAAATGTGCAATAATTTAGTCCCCAATGGCAGGTTATCTCCGTGAAGTGATTTATCTTATCATTTGAAAAAAACAACATCTTGATATAATAAAGGAACAAAAATAGGATGCTCTGTTTATTGTATCATTTTATATCATTCTAAAATCTTCTCTGTCAGTAAATCTATATTGTAGGAATGAGTGTTGGAAAAGGTCAAAGTACAGAGTCCAATCCCCTACTTCATGCAGAAATTCATATTAAAACATATGGAGACTAGAAGACTCATGGTAAACTTTCTATAATCAGAACTATATCCAGTAGTGTAATACAGACTTAGGAGTCCATCTAGTGGCTAAAGAACTTCTGTCCATTAAAAAAAATGAAAAAAGAAAAGAAAGGCATGACTAAGAACCCTAATAATAACTTTGCTGGAATAGATTTCAAATGTTTCCAATAAATTTTATCTTACATTGATTTTTGAAACAAATTCAAAATTCTATATTGTACGGAAGACACACAAAAATATTCACCCAAATACTAACATAATTTGTAGAAATAGTTTCTTAGAGAATGAGAGGTTAAAGAATTTCCTATATGTAGTTGCTGGTATATATATTTACATATCCATACTATATATAAATACTGTGCAATCTCTGCCCACTGGGTCCTCATTACCCTTACCTAAACAGACAAAAGGAATGAAGCAAAAAAGCAGTGAGAGCAGGAGTGATTTCTGACTTTCTGGCAACTTCCCCATTGAGTTTCTCTGTGGGAAGCTGACAGGAGCATCAGAAATGTTCACCTTTCTTCCTTTTTCGTGCTGCCAGGTGGGAGTGAGGGAGGGGGCGCATGGGGTATGTGTTGGAAAGGGGATATCTGGGGCGCCAGAGCTTCCATGTGGTTTTGGGAAAAGTGTGTGAATATGCACAAGATAACGATGCTGCATTGATCGAGGACATTATAGTAGCATGTGTTGGGGAAGTATGGGTTGGGGAAGGGCACACAAGAGGATCTGTGTGGGTCAAGTGGGATGCTGCATGGTTTGATGGAAATTATACTTAATTCATAATGTAGCTGAACATTAAAAATTCGACAAATGTATCTAGGCAGCTAGGTAATTTCAAGTTCCAGTTCAGTACATTATAATGCAGAAAAAGATGAATGTAGACTAAAAATTCATGAAGAATTAGCCTACCCAGTAGTATATAGTATACATATTTTGTATGTACCTATGTATGTATGAGTGTATAAAATTAAACAGGAAACACATATTTGTGCCACTAAAATACTATATATTTAGTAATATATAGTAACTTAAGTAAGTTAGGTACAAAAAGCATCTGCCAAGAGAGCAAAATATTAGGGGATTCTTACTTCCTAAGTGAAATGCTCCTCCAGCAGATTTCTTTTGCCAGCACCTTTATTTTTCTTTTCTTTTTTTCAACTACTATGCCATATATTGTTGCTTTGAGCATGTTCAGTTTTGTGCTAAGAAGTCCAATTTATTTATTTATTTTAAACCATTTTTCCTTACAAATCCTACTTTGTTTTTTGGTATCCCCATTACTTCTCACTGGCCTGTTTTGCTAAATTACAGTTAGCTTTTATTATTTACATTAACTCTTCTAAGGAAGGAATGATAATATTTAATGAATTAATTCTATAATAGATTACATAGCCACAAAGCTAATTGTTAATAAATGGCTATACATTATATACATAAAACTATGATGCACTGTGTAGAATGATCCATTTTGCACATATCCCAATATGTTCTCTTTTAAATTCAAATTGTAAAAATAATTACTTGTTAATTAATACACAGAAGAGCTTTGAGCAATGATGTTCTTATAGAACTTATTTAAAAAAACAAAAATAAAAAATATATATTTTATGAAAAGGGGTTTTTTTGAAGCCTAATTTTAGCACAGGGGCAATAGGAGAAGTTCAGGAAGTATGAGCACTGGTCCAATCAACTCTACCTGATGCTGCATTAGTATTGGACAAAGACTCCATTAATTGAAAACCTGTTCAAGCCGAACTGTTATAAAGCAAAGTAAGGAGGGCACAGATTAATTGGGATGAGTACAGCTAGAACTACAAACAAGATAAACAAGCACTGAAAAACTATATGTACCAGATTTTCTCTGCCTTCGTCCAAGCAGGTCCATTATAGTCTTTTGGAATTTTTTAGCTTCTTCTTCATTAGCAAAATTAAGACCCACTTGACATGTCTGAAAAACAATAATGTTCATGATCAACCTAAGACAGGGAATAAAAATATGCAGCTCCTCAGCAGCTCTTATGAAACTATATAAACAAAAAACCTACTAAAGAAAGTAGGCTTCAGATTCCCCCCCCCCGTTATTTATTCTTATATCTTTCTAGTATAAGCTAACTAAAAATAAGATTAAAAATAAATTACATTTTCAGGTAAAAATCAGTCAGTTTTATTTTAACACTAAAATGTTTGAAAATAATCAATAGAAATATAGACATCACATAAAATTACTTAATATTTCATTGGTTACTTTAACAAATTTGATTTAATATAAAGTAATCACATTTCCAAATTAACTCCTGAAAATACTTACATCTCCAGCAAATGTATGAAAATATGCTCTAGGACTATTATATACAAAGTTATTATATAATTCTTGTTCCCACAATTGTTTTCCATCCTGCAAGAGTGAAGAGGGGGAAGAAGGAGAAGGGAAGAAGATACAGACATTGAGACCATAAATTATTGTAAGCAAATATGCATGGATTTATATCTCACCTTTGGACATTCTAAGATTTTACATTTTTTCTGATGGCTTTGCTTCAGATTAAAATTCTATTCTTAAAACATAGAAACTAGTTTAACTTCTTGGTAACCTGCACTTTTGTAGTATAAATTTGAAAATGTGCTACAATCCTCATGTAACTTGTACTGTCTCAGAGCCTATTAAATACAGACAAAATTCAAAGATAGGATATGTAACAGTGTAAACAGACCAGAATTTTTTCCCCTGAAGTTGTAAAAGCGAAAACTAAGCTATTTATACTTTCAGCAAGAAAATGACTGTTGGCTTACCTGAGTGGTCGTTCTCTAGGCGCTGCAGGAGTGTCCAAGCATGGGTTAACTTCAGGTTGCTGCCCAAGGACTGAGTTCAAATCTTTGTGTAGCCACGCCTCCTGTTCCCAACAGAGGCTGTTTTAAAAACGAAGGTATCCGATCCAAAGGTTGCTGTATGAAAACGTCCGTGTCTTATAAGTGCTAAGTCCTGCACCCACACGAGAAACCCCAGAGCGGGGTTGGACACTCCTGCAGCACCTAAAGAACGACCAATCAGGTAATCATTCTCCTAGGCGCTGCTCGGAGTGTCCAAGCATGGGACATACCCAAGCTATGTGGTCCCAGGGTGGGAAGAAGGAGTGTCCTGGTTAACAGGGGCCGCAAGGACCCGCTGTAAGACCCTCCTTCCAAATGAAGCCTCAGCAAAGGTCTCTAGTCTGTAGTTTCGAATGAATGGAGATGTTGAGGACCAAGTGGCCGCCCGACAGATCTCCTCAATAGGTGCTTGAGTGGTCGAGGCAGCCGTCGTCGCATCGTTCCTCGTGGAGTGTGCTGTTATACGAGGAGGAACAGGCCTGGCTTGTTGTTCGTAGGCCAACTTGATGCATGCGCGCAGCCAGCGACCTATGGTGGAAGATGACACTTTCCTGCCCATGGAAGTAGGTTGGAATGAAATGAACGATTCCGACTTGCGAAAGGAGGCCGTCCTCTTTTTGTACACCCGCACAATGCGGCGCACATCCAGTTTGTGTCAGACCTGCTCCCTGGGATGGCTAGGGTGTGGGGAAAAGTAGGGGAGGAGCACCTCCTGTGTTCTGTGGAATAAGCTGTAATTTTTGATAAAAAGGCTGGATCCAATCTCAGAATTACCCTGCCCGAATGTATGATACAAAGGTCCTCCCTAACGGAGAGCGCAGCCAGCTCTGAGATTCTGTGCGCCAAGGTAATGGCTACAAGGAAGGCAATTTTGAGCGACAAATGCGGTAGACTAGCCGAGCAAATAGGTTCGAATGGCTGTGATGTTAGGGTCTGCAAGACAATAGACAAGTCCTAAGTTGGGTAACGATGCCCCATCGGAGGGCGTAAGTTGGTAGCCCCCTTCAGGAAGCTGCAAACCCTTGGGTGTCTGCTGAGCGGTTGAGAATCATCTCTGGACAAGATGGTGGCCAGGGCTGCTGTCTGCCTCCGAAGTGTGCTGGGGACAAGACCCTTGCCCAAGCCCTCCTATAGAAAGTCCAGAATTTGCGGAATTGTCACAGCTGTGGCGATGATTTGATGGGAGTGACACCAGGAAGAAAAACTGGTCCATGTCGCATCATAGATCCGCATAGTAGAAGGTCTCGTGGACGCCTGGATGGTGTGGATGACCCTGTCAGAGAGGTTGTCCTGCCTCAGGAGCTCCCCTTCAAGTGCCACACAACCAATTGAAGCCATCGAGGGTCCGGGTGAGGAACGGTCCTCTGGCAGAGGGAGAACTGCTCCTGAGGAATGCGCCAATGCTTGGTCACTGACAGACTGACAAGGTCGGCGGACCAGGACCTCCTTGGCCAGTGCGGAGCCACGAGTAGTACCTCATCCCTCTCCAGCAGGATCTTCCTGATCACCTGAGGTATTAATGGAGGGGCGGGAAGGCATATAGCAGTCCCGGGGGCCAGTGACACCCAAGAGTGTCCGTCCCTTCCTCGTCAGGGCATTGGAACCTTGAAATGAACCAGGGGAGCTGAGCGTTCTCGGGACTGGTAAACAGGTCTAGAACCAGGAGACCGAACCTCTGCGTCAGTTGGTGGAACAGAGATGGATGTAGCTGCCACTCCGAGTTGCTGATGGTTGTCCTGCTCAGCCAGTATGCTGTCACATTGTCTTCCCCGGAGATGTGGTCCGCCCTCAAGGACCTGAGGTGGCGTTCCGCCCTATGCTCCAATGCCTCTGCCTCCGACATCAGGGCTATTGATCGAGTGCCGCCCTGATGATTGACGTATGCCTTGCTGGCGATTTTGTTCATCAGAATGAGGACATGATGGCCCTCGATGAACCGACGGAAGTGGCGCAGGGCAAGTCTGGCGGCTCTGAGCTCCAGCCAGTTTATGTTGTGGGTGAGCTCCGCCTGCAACCACCTGCCCTGCGTCACATGAGTCTGTAGGTGGGCGCCCCAGCCATATAAGCTGGTGTGTTATGACAAGGCGCTCTGGTTCCTTGAAGAGGAACCCTCTCGCTAGTGCTGAGGATTGCCACCACCCGAGCAACCGAACCATTCTTGCAGGAATGGTGACCACCCTCTTGGAGTTGCTGGCCTTGTGTTGCTGTATGGGGAGAAGGAACCACTGAAGTTCTTGTGCATGTAGCCGCACCCATGGGACTACCGCGATGCACAAGATCAGCTTCCCCAGCAGCTGAGATAGAGTCACTAGAGGCGCTGACCGGATTTCCTGATATGACATACGAGAGATGTGATGCTGTCCCTTCGTTCCTGCATGAGGAAAACCCTGCAGGTTCAGGAGTAGATTACAGTGCCCAGGTGTTCGATCCTGGAGGTAGGCTCCAAATGGCTATTCTCCAGATTGACGGAGAACCCGTGTTGCTGTAGTCCGTGGACGGTGGCGTTGAGATCCTGGCACGCCTTCTGTCTGGACGCCGACATTAACAGGATGTTGTCCAGGTAGCAAATGATCCTCACTGGATGAGTCCTGAGGTGTGCAGCGACAGCAGCCAGGAGCTTGGTGAAAGTCCTGGGGGGCGATGATAGGCTGAAGGGAAGAGCCTTGTATTGGTAATGCTGGTTTGCAAATTGGAACCTCAGGAATTTGCGATGCGCTGGAAGAATGGGAACATGCAGGTACGCTTCCTTCAGATCGATTGAAGTCAGGAAGTCGCCTTGCCTGATGCAACCCAAGATGGTCTGGAGCGATTGCATCTTGAAGCGCTTGTACGCTATGTGGATGTTGCGTTTCTTGAGATCCAGAATGGCTCTCACTCCTCCCAAGGCTTTGGGAACCAGAAAGAGGATTGAGTAAAATCCCCTGCCTTCTTGACCCCGGGGCACCTGCTCAGTGGCCGCTATGTTCAGTAGATGCTGGATCTCCACCTGCATCATTTGTCACTTGTGGGGCAACTTTGGGATGGGACAACGAATGAAGGACCGAGGAGGAAGGGAAAGGATGTCTAAGGTGAGGCCGTGACGAATGGTGTTCAGTACCCAAGCGTCCGTCGTTTTCCTCCCACTGGTTGGCGTAAAGCTGTAGCTGACCCCTGATGGGAGGCCACCGGTGACGGTCATTGGGCCTGCGAAAGGAGCAGTTGGAAAAAAACCCTCGAAAGGACCTGTGATTCCCCTGCTGTCTGGATTTGTCCCTGAAGAAAGCACTATCCTGGGTGCGGTTCTGTGATTGGGAATAGGACCTGGTAAAGCTCTCCAAAGTGGAAGGGGAGTCATTGTTCCGAAAGGGCTGCCTACGAAAATAGGAGCGGCCTTTGCAGTCCGGTTTCTTGGTGACCGCCGGCAAGATCTTTCGTTTGTCCTTAGATTCAATCAGGACAGAGTCCAAGGCCTCCCCAAATAGCTTGCTACCCTTGAAAGGAGCCGAGGCCAACTTCCATTTAGCCTTCATGTCTGTGTGCCAGTGGGTAGCCACAGCAAGCAGCGAGTGGTCACATTAGAAGCCATAGCCCTTGATGAAAATTTGGTGGCGTTAAGTGAAGCGTCGGCCGAGTACTCGACCGCTGCAATAATCGTGTTCACGTCTTGACGTGACCTAGTATCTCCAGCAGGGAGGTTGGCTAACAGCTTGCGAAGCCAAAATAGTGCTGAGCTGCTGAAGTAGGAAGAGTTAGAGGAGGCCTTCATGGCCCACACAGTGGCAATGTGAGTCTTATGACAGGCCTTCTCCACCTTTTTGTCTTCTGCTTTCAGACCTTCCAGTAGGTCGGCTGGGAGGACAGAGTTGGAAGTTAGCGCCTCTATGGGGTCATCCACTTGCGGAAGCTTCAAGAGCTCCTCCATGGCGGTCTCTACAGAGTAGAGCTTTTTATCCATCCCACTAGGATTGGCCACTGACCCAGACTGAACCCATTGATGCTGGATGACATCCAGGAACAGCTTTGGCACTGGAACCAACTCCTGAGGGGGAGTGATTTCTTTAAAGAGGCCTGCGCCTGGATCCCCTGATCCTATAGTTTCCTTGTTACCCTGATCAGTGGTATTCTTATCAGATTGTCCCATTTGAATGGACGAAGCCCTAGCTTTGGTCAGAACGGCCTTGAACATTGTAGGCTTAAATGAGTCAGAGAATGCGGGGGCGTTGGGGGCTGGGTTCTCATCCTCCGACAGATCAGGGGCGTCCTGTCCACCCTCCTCCTCATCAGACACCTCGCTGACAGCTGAGGAAGCATAAGGGGAGGCCCCGGAGGGTTGAGGGAGAACCCCAATGTTCTGCCCTCTGGCTTTGGCTTTGCTCAGGAGGGGCAAGGATAAACCCAGTTGTTGGATGCCATTAGCAATCCCCTGTGATATTGCCCGTTGAACAACCTCCTTCATTGCTTGGGATAACTTAGGAGTCTCCCCAGAATTAGGGCCAGTGGAAGGAGCCTCCTCCCCCGTTAGGGAATAAGCCTCTTCCATGTCTACCTCCTCCAGAGAGGAAACAGGAGACCTGGGAGAAGCCTTGGAAGAAAATCCAAAATCCCCTTCATCTGTCAGAGATGGAGAGCCCTCCCGTGGAGTCTCCACCAATGGAATGTCTGTAGAAACTGATGGTGGAGGTGGTTCCCTGGCTTGCATAGTTTGTGCCTGGGCACTAACTGCCTTTTGAAACTGTCTCTCCAGGGCCTTCTGTCTAATTTCAGCCAACCTTTCTGCAGCTTTTGAGACTTTCTTGGCTTGGGGCTGTTTCCCTTTTGCGGGGCAGCCTGCACTGTCTCCCTTAGCAGCAGGGTTGAGCCTGCTCGTTTGTTAGTTGGAGGTTCAGCTTGATTCCTAGCTTCAGACACGTTCCTGCTGGCCACGGCACACTTCTATCTCAGTCAGAGCTTTAGTTGTAATCTTCCCAGTAATGCAATAGTTCTGGAAGTATGCCCTTTTAATTCAGTCCACATTCTGAGGAAAATGGGGCCCTGCAGGTATCAGTAACAGTTAGCAAATTTTTTGGCGCCAAAAATGGAAGTCCCAAGGCACTGCAGATCTGCGCTGTGATACTTCAAGGAATGGCCCGAGAAAGCCAAACTCCTTGCAGCCGCTCTCAATAGTCTTCCTGGGGAGGGGGGGACCTGTCTGGAGCCCCACAGTGAGATCCCAAATTAAGAAGCCCTCCCAGCAGCGATCTGCTGTGGAAACAGGTTTCGGCAAAGCAAATGGCTTGAGAATAAAGCATGCCGCTTTTTTTCTGTCCAAATTGGCCGCCGCAAGCTACGGAGCGCACAAGGAAGCTGACGGCAGTTAGGAGAGCTCAGTAGAGCCTTCGTTTTAAATTTAGACCACCGACAGTGAACCCAGGGGGTCCCTAACTACCCACCTGCCCCCAGAGCTTGCCAGCAGCCGTTGACGAGCCTCCCGGTGGTGCCTCAACCGCGGTGATTGTGGAAGGCAGCCATGCTCCGAGCACCTGTTCCGGGCTTCAATTAGGAGTGAACTTCCATCCAGTGGAAAAATAAAAAATCCTAACACTATATGCTAAACACAAAAAAAAGAAAAAAAAGGCTACATTAACTGCTTGGAGAGTCCAATTTGCTGTTCAAAGACTGGAACTCCCCAACTGCACCCTTTTAGGGCAACTGAGTTTTTAAAACTGAGGCTCTGTGGGAAACAGGAGGCGTGGCAACACAAAGATTTGAACTCAATCCTTGGGCAGCAAGCTGAAGTTAACCCATGCTTGGACACTCCAAGCAGCGCCTAGGAGAATAATATCTGCAATAGAATATGAAAAAGAAAATGATTGCTTTCTGCATAGCACTCTTTATCCGTATTGCTTTAGCAATTAATATTTAAACAATTTGTAATTATATGCAACTACCTGTGACTCAACATTTTCATAAGATATAAACAATAGAAATATAAACTAAATATGGCAAAAACAGTTGTTACCTTGATATCATATATTCTGATAAAATAGGATCTTTGTGGATTGTCTTTTACAAGGCAAGCTACACCACAGCATTTCTTTGACCACATAGCATTGCGCTCCGCTGCATATATCTGGACAACCACAGAGCACATTGTCTAAAATAAAATTAAAAAAAATACTATGTTAAAATTTAGGTATAATCTTTTTCCATTGTCTTTTCTATTAATCACAAATAAAATCTTGCAGAATTCATCTGATGAAAATAGTTATTTCCAGGTAGATAATGTTGCATTCAATTTCTTTGAACGTACTACAAAATGCCACAGGACTCAATAGTAAAATAGTGTATCTGAAAAACACTAACATGAAGATTCATCAATACCTCCCAACTTTATCACAATTATAACTAATAAGTATTGATTGTTCCAAAAGTTATCTGTGTACAGTGGACATCATGGTAGTAGTGTATCAGTTAGTTTATGCACTTTATCAAAGTTGGGCAATTCAGAGTAGATGACAGAAGACAGTCCATTTTTGTACGTTAATCTATTAACGTATACACCTAACATTACCTTTGGTTAGGAACACAGATTAAAGCCTATTTTCTATTAAAATTAGACAATATAGAGTAAGAAATTAATTCAAAGTATTTCAAACCAAATCCTGTTTGACTTAAAAAAAAACACCGTATAAAATTTGTTGTAGAATAGTCTCTGCATGATCTTCATTTGGCTTTGGATCACCAGCAGCTAAGAGCTGAACTTATATCAACAAAATCATTAAAAATATTAATAGACAATTGACATAATTCCCTGGCAGAGTCCTTTTTTAAAAATGCTGTGAATACGAGTAATCTTGTTTTAGATTTCTGTCTTTATGTTAAGGTTATATAACCACAGAAAGGCTAAGCAGGATATAAATGTTTAAAACAAAGCTTGATGGCCAAATAAAACCAACCTTATAGGCCAAAGTGAAATATTAATTTAGTAGGACTAGAGTACACAATATGGTGTAACCAGCCTTTATTTTGATGGTCTGCATCTGCAACTGGCAGATTTTATATGCAACAAAGCAAAAGTTGACTGGTCTACTTTTTATCCATAAAAAGCAAGCTATAACAACATTTTCTGCTTTAAAAATCTGAAATGTGCAAATTATAACCTTGGTGTTCAAAATAGATTAACTAGGTTTTGTAGTTTAAATTTCTGCATATCTTCTGCAGAAATTATTATAGAGGTTATCAAAATTTTAAAATTCTTGCATACTACACAATGAATATCTTTTTGAAGATATTCTTCTAGATCTTTTTTCCCACAAAGAAAATCTCTTCCTTTAATACTTGAAGGGACCAAGTCTTACACTTTCAATATAAACTGCCAGCCAGAAAAAAGGAAGCTCATTTGTGGTATTTCACTCAAAACCACACTATTGCAGGATGTTTCAAACTTTCACAGTCTTAACCACAGAGGTCAAATACTATTTTAGTATTGCAGTCAATACAGGGATGCTTCTTTTGACTTTGACTGCAATGCAAGAAATAATTTCAAAATGATTTGACTAAAAGTGTGGATTGAAAAGCTAGTTTAAGAATATTTCCTGGAGAAAAAGCACTTGCTCAAATTACGATTCATGTTTTTTACCCAAAATCTTTAAACTCCCTCTTTTTTGCATTCTATATTACAGTTATGCGTCAGCCTATTGGAAAGAAGCAGCCATATACTAAAACCATTTTTAAATACATATACACATCGTCATCTTTTTGACCTTCACAAAACAAAACCAGCTCTGATTTTCCTCTGCAAAGGCTTGCTTAGTTAAACAATAGCTTCTCTTTCTCCCCACTCCTGGGTGTTCACATTGTCCAATTATGAGATGTCCTTTTGTTATGGGAATAGTCCACCTCCTTCTTAGGTACCTGCAGTGGTGACCTTGATGGCTTCCAGGGTCTCACGCTGCATGCAAAAATCTTTGGCATTCCATTCCACCAACCCACTTCAGTTAAATGGCATGTTGAATAGCAATAGGATCTGAAAGGAGCCTAGCAGTTCAATCTTGACAGTATTTGTTGAAATGTAGCTCCCCCCCCCTACAAACCTTACAGATGCCCTGTGAAGGAAGAAGCAATCCCTTGCTTATTATCAAAAAATTTTCAGCATGGCATCCTCAAGATAGGGTAGGAATCAATTCCCAAATACTATGACCAATGCTTGCACAAATAGAAATTTTGCAACTCATGATCCAACATATCTGAAAGTACTCCTAGGTGTTATTCAAGTAAAGTGTTCTAAAAAAAATTAAAGCCTCATTTGAGTTGAGCTTGATTTGTGGTGACTTAATAGTTTTCTTGATAATAATGGCAGATTTGCCAATGCCTTATTCTATTGTTCTGTTTTGTGGTTCACAATCTAGCCTACAATTGTAATATTTCCTAATGGTTTCCGACCTAAGTGCTACCCAATCTGACATTTCTCAGATTTCTGAGATCAGTGCTGAGACTTAAGTATAGCTTTCTATGTAAAGGCAAATAAATCAATCTCTCTGAAAAAGAATAGGTGGGTACAAATTTCATATTTCGCATGGCAAAATTCAAAATTGGAGGCAAGGACGACTATTTAAAAATGAGCAAATACTTAAAAATTACATGTATTAATAAGTCATATTGCAAACATCTTTCTTGTTATGTAACTTATTTATAAATAGATATATTTCAGTAGGTAATTACTGCTGTTATCGATTTTTGTCTCCTGTGCATGCACAGCAGACCCAAAGACCAGCTGGCTGGTGGGAGGCATGCGCGCATGCATGGTGGAGCTGAACTGGGGCGACAGCTCACGTGCCTACAGAGAGGGCTCTGCGTGCCACCTCTGGCACACGTGCCATAAGTTCACCATCATGGCCCTAGCATATACAGAATTACTAAGAGAAGTTATCTGACAAAGGTGAGGAATCATCAATATACTAATGACATGAAATAATGTATTTCCATCCCCAATTGAGCCAGAGATTATGTAAAAATTGGTTAAGTTTGTTAAAGACTGAATGGGAAAAAACAAGCTCAAATTAAATAGTACCAAGATGGAGTTGCTATTATATCCTTAGAAACATGGGCTATGCCTACAACATTGCTCCTGGTAAATTGTCTGGATGGTGTTATCCTTCCTGAAGAAGCTGGTCAGTGATTTCAGAGTCTTTTTGGATTCACAGCTCCTGCTTTAGCAGCAGGTGGAATCCATACTTGGGATTCTACTACAGCTACTGAAGATATTGCCAGGAAGTAATTGTCAGAAAAGCAGCAGAAAACAAGTAAGCTCAGAGAGCACCAAGGACCCTTCAGTTGAATAAATTCTGAGGTGAGCAAGAGAGGATTTTGGATTGCAATCTGGGATATTTTTGACTTTGTTCAAATTTTGTGGAAATAGCCTTTGCAATGTGAGCTCTACCACCTGCAGAGTATTACCATACTCTTCCTGGCTTCTCTGAGCTGTTATATAATGGTTGATTTGGGAGATAGCCAACACTTTTGAGAAAAGAAATTGCAAACCTTGAGAGAGGTAATGGAGTACCTTCTCTTGAAGCCGCTTTAGCAGCAGTTGGACTCCATACCTGGGATTCTACTGCAGCTACTGAAGGTATTGCCAGGAAGTAATAGCACAGAAACACAACGTTAATACCTAATACCGACTGGATTTGAGGAATCACTGTATTGAATGATGCATGTAATAGTGATGAACATGCCCAGTGTTAGTGGTGGATGTCATTTCCTTGGTCTTGCCAAGTTTGATTTAAATGAAATTATTAAACTTATCATCTCCACCATGATAGCATTTTGGGAATGAGCATGCCTTAAAATAGCAATTTTGTATCTGTGTCAATAGGTTTTTCAAAATTCCAAATATGCCAGTGCCTAAAAAAAAATTATACCACACTTCCCCACCCAGATTGACCACTATCGTGTTAAGGTCTGTAAGGTTTATGTTTTCCCCCAGACACCCAGAAACACCCTTAGTATGTTATACATTAAACTATAACCTGACAAATCAGGAATAAAAAGGTTCCCCCAAAAGGTGGTGTATTTCAGTGTTCCAAAAATCGTTCCTAATAACTTCGCTTTTGTATCATAGAATTCCTTGTAAATGTTTCTTCAGTTTTCAAATTATCTCAGTCTCTGGCCTAATTCTATACAGTTAGTAACAGAGAAGTAATAAATGTATTTAGAATATTCTTTTTGAAAATGAAAAAAAAACCCTTTAGTTTGGTCATCCCTAACCTGGCAATTTTTCAGTGCGCACTATAGAAGAGAAAAGCAAATAGCAGTTATTCTTATAATCAGAGAAATCCCGCACAGTAAATTACTCTTTAAAAGAAAAATGTACAGAAGCTGCAAACCCTTAATTAATAAGTAACACAGGCATGTAAAAGATTAAAAAGAAAACAGAACAGTCTTTAAAACACTGTGGTCACATGGAGTAGATATTCTTTTTTTAAACAAAAGTGCTCTGTGGAAACATAATGAAATATAAAAAAATGTTTCTATTTATATAAAGGCCCAAGCATTAAGAACAAAACGCAAATGTTCTATAGAAACCCAACCTCAAACTATTTAATTTTATTGATAATGGGAGTATTACATATTATTTTAGGTCAATTGTTATGGTTAAATAGCTAGTGAAGCATTCACACAATGCTCTCAAAAAGAAACACCTTGCATTTTCTTGTAAAACAAGTAAGTGGTCTTGCAAATAGTGCTAGATTATCAATCCCAGCCTTGTTTCTATCTGCATCCAATATGCTTGAATGTAAGGCTCATACAAATGGAGCAAAACATGCAAAAAATATCATTATGGCCTGCATATTTAATAAAGAAATACCTTTCAGTATAAATGCATTTAAGATACTATCTTAAATACATTTATTTAATTCATATGCTGCCTGCCTTACTAATCAAATTATGCACTGTTTACAGTGGCATAAAAGAATATAAAAGCATTAAAATTAACAATTAAATAAAAAACACAAGACCATGGATGGTACAGGGATGGACTTTTGTTTCTTATTTTACCAATCACTGCCAGAGGTGAGATGGTTCCTCAGATAACCAAGTTCCATGCCCTGAAGGGCTTTAAAAGTGATAACCAATACACTGAATTGGTCCCAGATGCAAACCAGCAACTAATGAAGCTTATGAAGCTATGTTACAGGGACTACCCTCTCCAGAATTTTCCATACCAGTGCATTCTGTACCAATTGTAGCTTCTGAATACTCTTCAAGGGTAGTTCTGTGTAGAGTACATTGCAATAATCCAATTATTATCCTATTACCACGTCTAGACAATAGATGTCCTTAACAAAATTCAGACTATTTGACAATTATATTGCATAGTGAGATAAGGGTGATAGGGAATAGCCATGGACTTAAGTATTTGGAAAATGTATAAATTCCAAGGCAACAATGCAAAACATAATGCTGCCAGTCCTATGAATTCATGCTATTCCTACATATTAGGAATATAAACCATACTCTAAACTAGGAATGTATAGTGGCCACAATTAAAAACAACCAATACTAGACATGGTATATGGCATGTTAGTATCTCAAATACATTTTCTGTAGATAGCTTTGCAGTCAACTGCAATAAAAAATAACATTTTCTCCCAGATTGAAAAAATAAATTGTTACACCTTTCAGCAGATAAGGTAATCATATTAACTCTCAGCACATCAGAGCTTGTGAACACGGATTTCTCTCTGAAATTGCCTGAAGAAAACTTTTGTCCAATCGAACTGACAATACATTTTCATATTAAGCAGCAATGAATGGTGTAGAGTAAAACTATTTTAAAGAAAATGAAAGAATGTGGTCCATCCAATAAAATGACTTTGGATTTCTTAAACCTAAATTGAGGAAAAGAACTAAAGGAAATCAAGTTAAAAAGTACTTTTTAAAAAAGCAGGAAGGTACATTAAAAAAAACCCAATCCACTGGAGTAGGACCAGAATTTCGGCTGCTAAGCAATGCAATCGTAAAGGGTGATGTTGTATGACCATGCTGTTTAGCAACCACAGTTCTGCAAGCCCACAGTTACTGTTGTTAAGCAAAGACCTCATGTGATTGTGACTTCTAACTTCCTGACTGACTTTTCTTGTGGGAAGCTGACAAGTCACAAATTTTGATCAGATGACCATGCTCCAATGGCAGAAAATCCAGGCTGGTTGCCAAGTACCTGGACAACAGTAATGTGACTGTGAAGCACACCACAATGGCTGAAACTTCAAGGATTGATCATAAATGCCACTGGTTCAGCACTGTTGCAAGTTTGAATATTTGCTAAGCAAGTGGTCATTAAACAAGGATTACCTGTTTTGAGCTCAATAAGGGAACTGTTATTATTGAATAAGAGGCTAAATGCCTTTACTTTATCCATACAGAATTTGTTACAATTCAAGAAGACTAAGGAGTATTGTTGATTTAGGAAAGGTGAGATTATCTGTCTCTCTAAAATCTTAAACAGTGATTCTTCAGATTCTCTAAGTAAAGTCTTTTTCATCACATATTCTTTTAAACTGATGCCGGAGACTGAACCTAACATTTTTGCATGCTAAAGATATTATCTATCAGTTATGGTTCATATCCTTCACATCACATTGATTTTCACTTGCATTATAATTCTCAGACTAGCAGTTACAATTCCAGAAGTGAAAGTGGCTGGTTATTTTATGCTGGCATTTGCATCTAGAACAGTGTTTCTCAACCTCATCAACTTGAAGATGTCTGGACTTCAACTCCCAGACTTCCCCAGCCAGCGAATGCTGGCTGGGGAATTCTGGGAGTTGAAGTCCAGACATCTTCAAGTTGACAAGGTTGAGAAACACTGATCTAGAAAGTAGTACAGCACAAAACCTACACATATCTGAAGGACCACTTATTCCAGGTAGAACCATGCTGTCCAGTAGATCCAGCCAGAAAAGGGTGGTTAAAGCGTACAACTTCCAAATGCGATCAGAAGAGGACAAGAAGAATGTGCTGCTGCTCTCTGTATGGCTCATGCAGTACAACAATCTGCTTCCTGAAATCTGAATGGTATCCTCCCTGATAACTTCCTGAGAGCCCTGAAGTCAAAACTCCTTCACACAGCTTTTATTGCCTAATTAGAAGGTAACATTAAGGAGCACAGAGTTTTAGTAAAGGTAGAAACATTGTGTACGTTACTATTTATGGTTTTATAATGCTGTAAACTGTCATACTATTAATGTCAGTGATATACTTTTAATATATTACTATTATATATAGTGCATACACATGTGTAATTATGTATTTATCATTAAGGAACTAACACACATGGAATTTGTTTTTAATAAGTTTTACATTAAATTATACAATTATTTTAAAATAGTTTTAAGATTTTCAGCAATGTTTGTATATGAGGAAGAAAATGTGCAATGTATTTTCAAATATTTCAAGTGTCATCACTTGAATATTTTCTCCAAGTCTAGAATATATCTTCTAATTTTATTAATAAATACTATTTTATTTTCCATACTGTAGTTTATCAGTGTACCCAAATTGGTTTTCTTGTTGCCTGCTGCTGAGTACACAATTTTTCCATGTATTATTTTGATTACATTTGCATATAAAACAATTATGTAGATAAAAGCATATTTGTTCTTTAAAAACTTATAATTGGATTATTTTCTTGTTTCAAGGGAATTCAATTTGCACTAAGTTAGTGAAAATCCATGCAGCTCAATACTAGCAATGGCTCTCCACATAAAGGAGGTCTTTTCAGCAAACTTGGGACTTCCTTGGAAATAAAACTAGTACTTCCTGAGGCCAAAGCCTATGACTTTTCCACTTAGGAACAGCTCTTTGCTAAAGAGAGAATATAATATTCTAAAAGAGATTTTAAAAATCTGTGGAGTGTATTAAGCTTCGGCAAAGGCATTTTTAGTGCTAATTTCCCCCCCCTCTAAAAAAAGTGGTTTGCTAGTAATATTATAGTACAGCATTAATGTTTAGCTACCTGGCCTACAGTATTTAACATGAATTTAGTATGGCAAGCAACATAAATGTATATTCTCCCCACTGTAAATCAGCATACCCAGAAAAAAAAAGCAGCTCATGTTCATTAGACAGTTTTCAGAAACTATCTGCAAATTCCCATTAACAGCTGAAAAAGACATATCTAGAGTGCAAATTTGGCCTTAAGGAAATGTGAATTACAGATTACCTGTGACTGAATGATTTGTGAATCTTTACCTATTTAACCTCATCAGAAACAAAAAAACTGGATTTTCCATCCAGACCAGTATACTATTATAATCCTTACAGATTTACAGTGGGCAGAGGCATTTGCATATCTGTAGTCAATTTCTTGATAATATAGTTTATGTTTGCCCTTTCTGTCATAATTGGGGGGGGGAGACTTTAGTAAAACCAGTTTCTGTCAATAAACAAAAAACCTTAAAGGAAACAGGACATATCTATGATGCTTTATTCATGGTTGTATTATTTTTAATGATTCAGAAGAGGAAAAGTTTGACTGCTAATCCATCTGAAATACAGAATATTTATTTAGTGATATGTTTAAATGTCTGTCAGCTCAGAAATCAGAAAAGGCCAAATTTAAACGCAGAATATTTCAATATAAAACAGCATGATATAGATTGCATACTAAAACTTACTAAGTCAAACACAGCAGCATAAAGTCTGCTAAGAGCTGTATGAAGAGCTATTACCTAATAACTGTATCTAACAGCTATATGAGGACTACCAAAATTTCAGGGATTATTACAGTTGTTCCCGCCCCCCCCCCAAAGGGGAATTTTGTATATGCTCTGCAAATCTATTGCTCAGCAGGGAACAGAATCCAGAGGCTATTTTCATTTTCTAGTTCATTTCCTGAAAGTTCAGAAACTATACAGGTAGAAATGTATGCCAGCTTTCTATGAGTAGCTGAACTTTTCCACACACATACACGAATTGCAACATCTCCATTTCTGACACACACGTACTGAAAAAACACCAAGCACTTCCGGTATACTCTGAAATAATCATACCTGTTGGAAAAAAGGAAGTGGGGGAGAAAATAATCTCTTAACATAGCAAAAAAGTGAAGAGCTCCCCACCAAAGGTAAAACAGCATCTGCCTTAAAACAAGCCACATAGTGGAAAGGATTTGTTGGAGCTCCCCTAACCAGGGTTTTTTTTTCTTTCTTTCAGCAAAGCCGGAGCAGATCCAATGGGCCGACTCTAGTCAACAGGCTCTGCCTTCCCTTCCTGTTGCTTGGATCCACAGCCTTCACCTGCACCTAGTATTTATCCCACTCCCACCAGATCCCAAAAAAAAGCAAAAAGAGATCGCTGAAGTCTTCTTTCCCTTGGAGGAGTAAAGGCGGGCATCTTTTCTTTCTTCGCACATTCCCCCCCCCCGTCTCTTCTTTTACTTATTTATTTATTTAGTTTCTCACTCATGTAGAAGATAACAAGAATAAGAATTAACATGAATAAGAATGGGTACAAATAAATGGGGACATTAGGACAGGTGGTGCACTTTAATGCACGCATTTCGATATATACATTTCAGTATAAATTTAGCCAAAGCTGTTAAGGGGTTGATTTTTCCACCTCCGCCCCAACAATACAGAGCCGTGGGGAGGAATAAGAGGTGGGGGAGGAAAGTAGGCAGCTGTTCCGTGGGAACGGCCCCAGCCAGGGACCTTCTGCTCTCTCCAAATTCAAAGTAAGCCAGCCACGACCCCGCGCCGGGAAGGAAATAAAAGAGTTGGGGGGAGGAAGGAGGAAAAACTGGCAGGGCTCTTGCATCATCACGCCTCCCACTCGCAGCTTCTGCCTCCAGCAGATGGAAGTCACCCTTCTGCCCCGCAGCCCCCTTCCCCGAGAGGTCAAGGCAGCTTCCCGCCCGGGACGCGCGTGGCCAAACCCTCCACAGGCGCCCCCATAGGATTGGCCGGGCCTCCCCAACCCCCGAGGCAGTCAGGCCCAGCTAGCGGGGCGAAGCCTCCTCCTTTCCCGTCCCTCACTCACCACGCATTTCTTGCCGAGGAAGCCGAAGAGGCTCTCGTTCTCCTGCGGTGTGAGCAGCATGGAGCCCACGTTGGAGACCCTCCGCGGCGGCGGGGGCTGCTGCTGCTGTTGTTGGCTGTTGTTCATGGCGGCCGCCGCCGGCGCCAGGCCGGGACTGCCAACCCCCTCCGCCGGCTTCGCAGCTGGCTCTAGCTCGCTTGCGGGGGGTCAGGCCCCGCGTCTCCTGGAGGGTGGCGGCGGCGCAGGAGCCTGCCTACCCGCGCTATTGCAGCAACATCGGGGCGGCGACCTGAGGGGGCGCCGCGTCGGACCGGGGAGCAACTCCTGAGGGTTTTTTTTTCCCTTGCGAGCGACCGGAGCGGAGCGGCCGGGGAAGACCCGCTCCTCGCCCTTCTGCGCGCCTTCCGCCGCTCTCCCGACAGGCACTAAACTTCCAACTTCTCCCCGGCGCCGGCCGTGCAATCCAACATGGCAGGGAGCGGAGGCGCGGGCGAGACCAAACGCCGCGGAGGGAGAGGGGAGGACGCGGGGTCGAGAGACGCCTCAGGCTGCCCAGCCCGCGTCACTGCTTCTCGGCCCGGCTCCCCCTACCCTGCTTGGACTCACTCTCTTCGCCGCCGGTCCGGAGAGCGTAGGCGGGGCGGCCCCGCAGCTCGGCTTCAACGCAAGTCCCAGCTGGCAGCTGGGGAGTCGCGCTCTCTGTGGCCTCCCCCGTTAAATACCGGGGCGAGCCAGGCCGGGCTGCTTCCCCGGCCTTGTCATCCAGGAAGTCTGGGAATTGGCGGTGGCGGGAGGCGGAGGAAGCGAGTGGAGAGACGCCGCGGGCTTGCAGGAGTGGCGCGCCCCGCGATTCCTGCAATTCTTCCACGCAGAACCGGGCGGCTTGGTGGCGCGAAGCGGGGGTGTGCGCTCCTGTCACCTGCCTGCCCCTTGGCTTAAAGCTTCCGACGATCCCGCAGACGTAATTTGTGCCTCCAGACTCCAGAGAGGAAAAGCGTTGCTGTTATAAATCCGTCTTTTTCTTTTAATTTAATTCCTACAAGAGAGTTTGCTTCCACTTAGGTCTTGCTTTGAATAATGGATAATGGATGTTGGGCTTGGCTCGCTCCGGTGCTTGGTAATGTCTGACTCACGGCTCAAGGCTCTAAATTAGGTTTAAAGGTAAAGGTTCCCCTCACAAATATACGCGCTAGTCGTTCCCGACTCCGGGGGAGCAATCTTCATCTCCGGTTCTAAGCCAAAGAGCCAGTGCTGTCCGAAGATGTCTCTCTGCCAAAGGTGCACCTGTTACCTTCCCACCAAAGTGTTTCCCATTTTTCTACTTGCATTTTTACATGCTTTCCAATTGCTAGGTGGGCAGAAGATGGGGCAAGAAACAGGAGCTCACTTGTTACTTAGAGATGCCGACCTTTCTGATCGACAAGCTCAGCGTCTTAGCCCCTCAGCCACCTTGGCTCTCTCAAATCATGTTTAACCAGATTACAAGGCCTCAGAAATGTGAGAACTCGAATAGCGGGTGTCCAAATAGACCTTGACAAACTGAGGGTGTGTGGACTTAAACTCCTAGAATTCAACTCCCAGCAGGCTGGTTGGGGAATTCTTGGAATGGAAGCCTATACACCTTTGAGTTGCCAAGGTTGAGAAAGACATATGGAGGTTGGAAACAAAAGAACTCATACTCATGTTTTTATTTTCAACTGAACTGGGATTGTTTTGTTGTTAAGTCTCATCCTTGGCTTTATGGAATTCCTGGATTTTTGTTTGGAGGAATCTTTATATACCTATGAGCATTGCTTATTATCTAGTAATGGCTTTAATTATATGGCCTGCGTTCGGGGGAAAAAACCCTTTCTTTGAAGATACTCGTTTTGCAAGGAAAGATTGGTAGGACAATCTCAAACCTCAACCATGTTGAATCTTCATTACTGACAAATAATTAAAAACATATTATTTTGCATTGCTCATAAAATGGTCAGGATTATTACAGGATGATTATTACAGTCTTTAAAATTCTGTAGAGCTGAGGAAACTTCTTGGATGAGAAGCGAAACGTCTTCAAGAAAAAACCAGAAAGTCCAGATGCCTCTTGAAAAAGCACCTTTGGGACAAATGCCATGGGTGAATCCCAGTAAACCTGGAACATCACTTGAACCACATTGGCACTGACAAAATAAACATAAAAGACAGCCTTACTGGACAGCTCACATCCTGCGATAATACTTTTAATACTGTCAAACAAGAACATCAGCCAAGTCCTTAGGAGGACTCGATAGGTGGATAAAAATGTCAAACCCAATCCAAACATTTGCAACCAACCATAACAATGATAGCTTGTTCAATGGTTCATTTCCAAAGAGAGAGAATTAAATTCTGTTTGGAAAGTGGATCTTGTATCCAGTGGTGGGTTCCGGATCCCGGTGCAACTGGTACAGTGCAACGGGGCCCGGAGTTCAGTTTATTGTATTTGTATGCCGCCCTTTTCCCCCCGAAGGGGGACTCAGGGCGGCTCACAACTCGAACCGGGGAAGGGGGATACAAACAAAAATTTTAAAAAACAAACATAACAATATATAATTTAAAACTCACAACAGTCATACCATTCGAGACGGGAGTCTACCACATGCATGCGTGCAGCATGCACATGCATCCTTATCTCCGCGATGCCTCTGTGACACTCCAGCTGCTCGGTGGAGCGTCACGCAGGTGCTGTATGCTGCGTGCGCAGAAGTGCTGAAGAGTTCAAATACAGCTGAGTTCGGGTAGGTGGGTGAGTCCTTCAGAGCACCAGAACAGGACAGTACCCAGTGCCCTCGGCAGGCATACCAGGGTGTACCACCTGCAACCCACCACTGCTTGTATCCTACACATCCAGAGTATTGTAAGCTATATTTGCTTATTTAAGAGCATTCACTAGGACATTGATCTTTAAAGAAACAGTGACCAAGTTCCCATGTGATCCACAACAATATTTTAACTGTCTCCTTGAGTTAATCATTACTAGTAACTAAGTTTACACACAGAATCTATGATCAAGAGGCAAATTTCTAGTGATGGAAAATTGATTGCATTGGAGTGAACTTTTGTATGGAGCCCCAGTAAATTCTCAATGGGACCCTTTGATTATGTGCAACCCAACTTGAAAAGCTTTCCATTATGTTTTGGTTCAAAATGCCTTGGCGCTACTAAGCACATTAAAACCCAATTATTTTGATTTGTTTGCAGCATTATGGCACAGCACAACACTGGATTCCAGCTAGCTTCTTCCTTGATAATATTAAGGGAAAAACAGTGTCTGGATGCATTTCTTTATTATATTTCTATACTCTCAGCCCTGACATTGCAAAACTCATTCTATGGGCTCAGTCAGGCCTACTAAAAATGACCTACCAAGAATTCTTACCAACAAAATGAAAAGGAAAATTAGAAAAAAAAATGAACACCGCAGTAGACTTTAATTATCCAGGTAATTATATTCAGGATACAGGGAGTACTTGATTTACAGCTGTAATTGAGCCTGGAATTACAGTTGTACATTCTGGCAGAGGATAAGTGGGTCACCATGTGACTGTTTTGATGACTAATTTGCAGCAGTTGATAAGTGAAAACCAGAGTCATTAAGTGACCCTGGTTTCCCCAATGAGTGTTTTTTTGCTACTATAGATGCTGGAAGTAAATGCCAGAAATTGGTAAATCTCACCAAAAATTGTCACATGGCAGGGGACATTGCAAACAGCCAAATATGTGATCTACTTGCCAAGCAGCCAAAACATAATCATGTTACTGTGTGTATGGCTTTTGGAAGGCTGGAACAAGTAGCTTTGGAAGGAGGGTCTATTGTAACGGTCACTAAGCAAAGATTATCTTTAACACTAAGGTAGATAATATCTGTTTATGATTTTGATTTATTTAGTCTGTCAAACATATACAAGATAACAGGTATAAGTATAAACATGGAATGAACAAAAGAAATGAATACAAATAAATGGGGACAGTAGGACAGGGACGGTAGGCACACTGGTGCACTTATGCACCAGTGAAATTTATAATTATAATATAATTTATAATTATAATAAAATTTTAATTTATGGTGAAGCTCTCGCCTCAATCAGGAGGCTGTGAGTTTGATCCCAGATAGAGGCAGATATTTCTCTTTCTGGTAACAATCGGAATATATCTGTTGAACCAAACTGTTTTGCGACAGGAAGGGCATCCAGCCATTAAACAGTCTGCTAGTCCGTTCGGTTGCCCAGACTCCATCCTGCAAGGGATTATGGGGTTGTTAAAAGATGATGATGTTTGCAAAAACATTTAAAATTATTCTAATACACCATGTAATGTCCTGTAACCAACATATTTGCATTTTATTGAAAAATGGGAGACAGATCTGAAATACTTTGATAGAAGAGAGTAGAATTCTATCAGTAAATGCTGGATACTTTAAAATATGTGATTTGATATGAAGAGCAGGTGGTGACTATGGAAGAGATGCATGGAAATACTGTAACCAATTGACACGCTTTCTACAATTTGTAATGGAAGATGGTATTTTTATTTTTATGTTTGTCCTTGTTCAAAACAAATAAAAATTGTTTTTTTAAAAAAAGGAACTGCTGGATACTACTGTACAGGTAGATGCTCTGAATTGTGGAGTGAATGTATACAAATTGCAGGGAAATTTTTTTGTGAACTTTACTTGTAATATACATGAGAGGATTAAAATGATTCAGCCCTGAAATATACTTTGATATGCAAACATCCTGTAATATTTTGCCAAACAATGAAGCAGCCCATTAATTTTGATTGCAGATGTGAAACTTCAAAGAATGAACTCATCCTGCTCCCCAAACCTTTTTGTTTAAAAAAATGGAAAAAATAGATTACAAGTATTTTCATTAAAAATGTACAAATGATCAAGAGGCCAATAAAATTGATCTGGAACCATAGCTGTCTTCCGAAAATCATTACTTTCTGCATTTGTGACTCTTAAGATAAGCCTAGAGCAGTGATGGCAAACCTTTTCGGCACTGAGTACCCAGGCCGGAATGCATGTACATGTGTGCGTGGGCATGTGCCAAAGCACCGGAAACCCAAAGACCAGCTGGCCGGCATGCGCATGCCTGTTTTTGGGGAACTTTTTTCAGGCCATTTTCCAGCGCTCACGAAGATGCATGCCGGATACCAGAAGAGCAGCTGGCAATGGCGCACGTGCTCACAAAGAGGGCTCTGTGTGCCACCTCTGGCATATATGCCATAGGTTTGCCATCATGGGCCTAGAGCAGTGTTTCTCAACCTTGGCGACTTTAAGTCCTGTGCTGGCTGGGGGATTCTGGGAGTTGAAGTCCACAGGACTTCAAGTCGCCAAGGTTGAGGAACACTGGCCTAGAGTATGTTTTTTGTTTCACTACCATATCAGAGACATAGCAAGCCATCTTCATATCGATAAACTCACATCCTGATTAACGAGCTTACTCAACATCAGATATTTTAAGGTTCAGAAGGATACGTCATCAGAAA